AAAAAAAAAATGTGAAAAATGATGTAAAAATAAACTTTTTAATAAAAAAAAAATTAAATAAAAAATGGCAAAAGGAACTGAATACTTTTCCAAAGAAGACATACAAACGGCCCACAAATACATGAACAAACACTAATGTCACCAATCATAAGGAAGATGCAAATCACAGGACATCACCTCACCCTTACTGGGATGGCCATTACCAAAGACAAGGGACAATTTCTGGCAAGGGTGGGAGAAAGAGACTCATACGCTTTTGAAAGGAAAGTAAATTGGAGCAAACACTATGGTCACTTTCTCAAAAAGCTGAAACTAGAATTACCACGTGATCCGGGAATCTCACTCTCAATACAGATAAAGGAAACACATCAGTGTCTCAGAGATCTCTGCACACCCAAGTTCACTGCAGCATTATCCACAATATCAAGATGGAAACAACCTAAGTGGCAATGGATGAATGGATAAAGGATACATATATGTATATACACTAAATCACACAAGCATATAATACATTATGTACATATCACAACACCTTGAAAGAAAGGCACCAACTCAACAGGTGGTAAATCACACGTCAGGAAAAAAATTAAGACACAGATGAAGTCTTTTTAATTAAAAATTTTAATGAGAAAACACTGGCAATAGAAAAAAATAGAAAAAAATACAGCAGAAGTTAAACGATTTCTAAAAAGTGAGTCAATAAAACCAAGCATGAGGGTTTTTTCTAAAGACCCAATTAAGAAGGCAAAAATGTAGACAATTCTACATTAAGAAAAAGGGGAAATTCCAGATTGAGATGAAAATGTTTAAGTAAATATTATGTGAGATATGGCATTAAGGTTTTTCAAAGTCTTGACAGTTTCTTCAGAAAATATAGGTTATTGACACTGACAAAGCCAAAAATTCCACAGAAGAAAATGAGAAAGTCCTCTAGGCAGCCCCCTCCTTGAAGGCTCTAGGAGACCTCTAAACCCTGCTTCTGCCGCCACCTGCCGTGTGACTTCAGGGACTTGAAGCTCCTTGTCCGGCGTCAGGTAAATCCAGTCTGTCTCTCAAGGTGATTTGGGGTTTAAAGCAGCACAGCCATGTTAGTGAAGGGCAAACTGTGTGGCTGGCTACCTAGCCTGGGTATCATTACTGACCCCCTGGGGATGAACCCCACAGTGCTCATAAGAACCTACAATTGTCCTTCCTAACTTGAAGACTCAAAAGAAGTGCTGAAAGGTTAAGCTGGGTGCAGAAGCTGGGGGCAGCTTCCAGCCTTCCTGCAAGGGCCAGTAAATCCCACCAATGCCAAGCAAAGGGAGACTCCTGCCCCTGTCAGCCACTCGGGACCTCTGGGCTGTCCCTGGGCCCTCACCACCAGTGCCATCCCTGGGGCCACCAGTGCCATCCCTGCCTTCAACATGATTCTCCCCACATGAGCTGTAGGTGCCTGCAGCTTCTCGCCTTCAGTTTTCGAAAGTTCGAATCACGACATTTCACTTTTACGAAAGGACTACATTAGCACCTGTTTTCGGCAACCAAAATAAGACCGAAGAGTCTGATTTTCACTTTTTTTTTTTAAGATTTATTTATTTGTGCATATAGAACTGGGGTACAGGCCAGAGGCTCAGGGGTGGCGAGAGGCTTCACCAGAGACAGAGTGGGGAGCAGAACAGGCAGATCGACGAAGTACACTGCTGAGGGGAGCAGCGGGCGGGTCAGGAGAGGTCTGCCACACCATGTGGTCACCTCCGGGGCAGGCGGGAATCGAACTCATGCGAAAGTGGCTTTAGCTTCTCAGTGCTGTGCTTTAACCCGCTGCGCCACCAGAGCGGGCCCTGATTTTCACTTTTGTGGACAAAACGCAGTCAGAAGCAGCACCCGGCGCTGGTGTAGCATCCTGCAGCGTGGTGCCCTGGGCCACAACCCACCACACTCCTGCCCTAGCAACTACAAATTGTGTCAACATCACTCCTTGTGTGATGTTAGGATTGGTGTGCTAGGTGGTGTGATTTGAGAGTTTATTTAGGGCACTAAAAACATGCAGATTGTTCATATAAATTAACGGTGATGGTTTCTTTGATTAACACCATTTGGGCTCAGGAAAGTTTTCATAGGAATACTCTACTTCCAGGCAGCGAGGGAAGCCTGCCCTGACCAATGTAAGTAAGGCCAGCGCTCCTCCCTAAGGTCTGCCCTGTAGACCTGGAACACAGATTGCCCAGCCATCTCTAAATCACACTGCATCAGAACTTTCTACAGGGAAATGAGCTGTGAATTGGAAAACATTTCAAATGCCTCCGATTCATCCTGTCTCGACATCTGATCTTTTAATGGGCTGTCAATGGCTTCCCCAAAACAAAACCTGGCCAAAAACAATGAAGAAGGCAGGCAGAGACACCAAGAAAAGAGGGCTCCAGGCCTCTGCAGATGGAATCCCAGAGCCATTCATCACCAGGTACTGGAGGTTTGGGGGTGGGGGTAGTGAATGACACAAACAAATGAAGTCTTTTTAAGTGAAATGTTTAATTAGAAAGCACAGGCAGTTGAAAAGAGAAGAGCTGGTGGGCAGTGCTGGGATGTGACCAATCAAGCAGAAGGAGACATGATACTTGAAACATAGGGACCCCAAGAGGTAGCGGGTGCCAAAAGTCACCCTCCTGTCTTCTTTCACTCAGCCACCTCTTACCTTAACCAGTCACCGTTCAAGCTCTAAGCCCCAGGAAGCTCCCCTTGATCCCCATGACCAGAAAAGCACCCCAATTCATGCTCCATGGGCCCCAAGATGCCTCTGTTCACCCCTATCATACCAAAGACCACAGGCTGCCTTGGGTGAGTTGTTGTGGTCCCAGAGGACCTGTGCCCACATCCGCTCGCTCGCCAAAAATTGCATCTTGGACTCTGCTCTGTGCCAGGCCCAAGGCCAGGGAGTGTCCACCCGGTGACTGCAGCACCACGTCAAGGCTGGGGTCCAGCTTCAGGTGCTTGCACACATGTCCCTCATGTTTCCAGTGACCTGGCCACAGCCTGCCTGGCTCCTTGAGAGGCCAACTGGAGGTCTGCCTGCCATGTCTCAAGAAGTTCTGAGAGAACTGAGGTTGGTGGATGAAAGGCAAATGCCAAACAGGCGGGCAGCCAGGATGACCGTGGGCTGCAGCTGTGAGGCAGAGCCAGCGGGACCTGCGGGTGGGGGCAGGGGAGGTGCAGGTACAGAAGCAGCTCCCAGCCCCCACCAGGCAGAGGAAAAACAATGCATCACACTCCGGCCGCAGAGACCTGTCCTGTGAACAGTCAGCCCCAGCACCCCAGAACCCCACTTGTGGCTGGCAGAGCAGCTATCCACATGCTCCTGACTGAACCGTATGCCCCACATCCTCGTGTTGAAGCCCTAACCCCAAGTACCTCAAATGTGACCATATTTGGCACTAGGGTCTTTAAAGAGATAATCAAGTTAAAGTGAGGTCACCGGGTAAATTCTAACCCAAAGCAAATGGTGTCCTTGTAGAAAGAGTGATTCTGGATGGAAATATTTACAGAGGAAAGGTCTGGTGACACAGGAGGAAGGTGCCCTCCTGCCAGTCAAGGCTAGGGAGAAGCCAACCAGCTGACACCATGAATGTCCAGCTCCGGAAGGGTAAGGATACTCATTTCTGCCATTTAAGCAGCCCTGTCTGAGGTCCTTTGCTCTGATGTCCCTAATCAACCGACACACACAGGTGACCTCACTTAATCTCCCAACAGACCTCACATAGGAGTTCTATAGAAAAGGAGCCCGAAACCCCAAAGTCACCCAGGGTCACACCCTGAGTAAGTGGTCTTCTAACCCCAACCTTCCTGCTACCTCCACCTGGCCAGTGAGGACAGCAGCTAGCTGGAGAGCAGAGTAGTATGCTGCCAGGACCCCCAGCTGTGTTCCCTGGGGTGGGGAGGGGGACCTCACACATGCAAATCACAGGTGGGAGTGTTGGACCTGTACTGAACCAAGCTAACGCCATTTTGTGCTAGCTGCCTTTTCTGCTTCTGTATCCTGCTTGCTGCTTGCGGAGATAGGAAATTCCCCAAATAACTTTGCTTTAAGAGGAAGAAAACTTGTAAAATTGATTAAATTGATTACTGTCTTCAACAGGATCAGGATATGGGTCATATGATCAAACACCTAAGTTTCGTTTCCTTGCCTGCAGTGCATAAAAACTGGCTTCTGTAACGGTTCGAGCCCACACTCTCTAGAGAGTGCTGGTCCCAGCTGGCCAGTATTCTGA